GATGTCGCTATTACCTTCAATATCATCTTCCGGACGAATATCAAAGGTGATAACCATATCAGGCTCAAATGCATAAGTCTTGCATAGTGCTCGCCATGTTTCGCATCCAAAATAGGTGTAGTCGTCTGAATTGTATAATTTTGCGTGGAAAATATAACCATGCTCGGTCTTCAAATAAACTTTCTTTTCCTCCATAGTATGACTGAAACCTATCTTATCCAATACAAAAACTCTTGCATGGCATGGGATACGCTAGTAGAATAGTAAAAAAATATAAGTTGAAGCAAATGAAGCAGATGTCATGCTTAATTACGAAAAAAGACTTGTTGTTGTGACTTACTGTATCCACTTCGAAGTTCTCGTCCAGCTTGATGCTGAAGCGTCTATCATCATCTAGGAAGATTCCGTCGCACAGGCCGCGCTCGTCTTCGCAGTATTTGCAAATACCGAAATCCTTTTTGTCGTCAGACATTTCCTATGTTCATAGTTAAAACATTAATTGAAAATCGATAAAAGACAACTATCAGGATACTCAAGACACAAATCCGGGGCACTCGATATTTCCTACATATTCTGGCAAAAGTCATGCCAAAATTCATGGAAAAATCCGGCATGACCTTTGCTAAAATAGGATATATCGAGCACCTGAAATTTGCCAGAACGGAAATGAATCAACACTCCGGCAACACATAGGCCACTCGGAGGTGTAACCTGCAAACATGACCGGCCACTTGGATATTGAGCAACACAAGATATACATTTCAAAATATCTTATAAGACTCAAATTAGCATGCATTCAATAAGCAAAAGTAAATCATCTCATGCGTCCGTACATCGTCGAATATTATCATTTATACATCCCGAATAGTGTCATACATATAACATCACTAGTACAACTAAAACCCTAGCACACGACGGGTATCGGTGCGGGCGGTGGACACCCACAGAGAAGGAACCATCACGGGATCATAGCTCTAGTGAGATCCCTGGAGAACCTGCCAGGTATTGGAGAACCTGTGCTCCAACGCAAACAAGTAGCGACGGACGTGCGCGTCCTCCTCACTGACACGGTGACGCACCACCTCCGCGGAGTCCTCGAGCCTCTGGACCGTCACTAGCCCACGCGACTGCCACCAAAGAAGGTTTGGGTCAACGACAGGCTGGCTCCTCACCAACCTGCGCCCCCCGGTCGGTAGCGCCTCCCAGTACCACCCCGGTGGAGCCCAGTCCCGGACATGGCCCATCTGGTCAAGCAGGTGTCGTCCTCCGCCGACTCGACGACGAGGATGCGGGATAGGCATCGTCCACGTCGATGCGGGAAAATTGCTTTAACTAAAAAGATAGCAACAAGTTCTTACTAACTAGTTTTATTAATTCAACTAGTTCTTACTAAAAATAAAATTACTATAAATAAAAATATTCTAGTACCTAATTAGTACCTAGTTCTTACTAACTAATTAGTACCTAAGAACTACTGCCCTAATTACCATCTAATTTGATGAACCTATAGGGGTGGAAAGTGGTAGCGGATATTCCAATTATCCAACTATAAAGTGAAATAAGTGGTCAAATTTTACTCGTTTTATGATTCATCTTAGAAATTTGATTCGTTTCCACCCTTACATGAACCCTAACTCATTTGAGCCGCATCCGCATCCGATTCGTTTCCACCCTGACTAATTTGATGGAGGTAGAAACCCTAGGAAGAGGTAGGGGAGAGGGAGGAGCAGGCGTGCTCACCTCGGGTGCCTGCGACGAGGGAGGGGCAGGCGGCGTCGAGGTCGTGTTCGGGGCTCCGGGGCGGTGTGGAGGTCGGGGGGGCAGGGGCGGCGTTGAGGTCGGGGTCGGGGGCGGCGTCCCGGGCGGCATTGAGGTCGGGGACGGGGCCGGCATTGAATCTGGGGTCGGGAGCGGCGTGGAGAGAGCGCGCGGCGGCCGAGGGGCGATAGCGGCGGCGAGAGTGGAGTTGATTTGGGGAATGAAGTGGTCGTCGGGAAGGATGAACCGCGTGGTTAAGTCAGAAGTACCAGTAGCGCGTTCCAGAAAGGGCGCTACTGCTACGTTAGCTACAGTGCGTTCCGGAATACACGCTGCAACTGAGGAGATTAGCAGTAGCGCTGGGCCATTATACGCGCTACTGCTAGGTTGGGCTAGCCATGTGCGCCCAGTTCAAACGTAGCAGCAACGCTTTTCGCTAGTACGCGCTACTGCTAAAGTCATAGCAGTAGCGCGGTTTATTTACGCGCGCTGCTACTAAGTAGCAGCAGCGCTTGATTTTGTACAGCGCTACTGGTAAAATTTTGTGTATAGGCTTTTCCCTAGTAGTGACGTACCCTCGTAGACCGTAAGCGGAAGCGTTATGAGAACGCGGTTGATGTAGTCGAACGTCTTCACGATCCGACCGACCAAGTACCGAACGCGCGGCACCTCCGAGTTCAGCACACGTTCAGCTCGATGACGTCCCACGAACTCCGATCCAGCAGAGCTTCACGGGAGAGTTCCATCAGCACGACGGCGTGATGACGGTGATTATGTTGCTACCGACGCAGGGCTTCGCCTAAGCACCACTACGATATGATCGAGGTGGATTATGGTGGAAGGGGGCACCACACATGGCTAAGGGATCAACGATCAACTTGTGTGTCTATGGGGTGCTCCTGGCCACGTATATAAAGGAGTGAAGGAGGGGGAGGGCCAGCCCTCCTATTGCGCGCCCTGCGGAGTCCTACTCCCACCAGGAGTAGGATCCCCCCTTCCATGTAGTACGAGTAGGAGAGAAGAAAAGGAAAAGAGAAGAGAAGGAAGGAGGGGGCGCCGCCCCTCCCCCTAGTTAAATTCGGACTAGGCCTTGGGGGGCGCAACCTCCTCTATCTCTTTCCCCTAAAGCCCAATAAGGCCCATATACTCCCATGCGAATTCTCGTAACTCTCCGGTACTCCGAAAAATACCCGAATCACTCGGAACCTTTCCGATGTCCGATTATAGTCGTCCAATATATCGATCTTTATGTCTCGACCATTTCGAGACTCCTCGTCATGTCCCCGATCTCATCCGGGACTCCGAACTACCTTCGGTACATCAAAACACATAAACTCATAATACTGATTGTCATCGAACGTTAAGCGTGCGGACCCTACGGGTTCGAGAACTATGTAGACATGACCGAGACTCATCTTCGGTCAATAACCAATAGCGGAACCTGGATGCTCATATTGGTTCCTACATATTCTACGAAGATCTTTATCGGTCAAACCGCATAACAACATACGTTGTTCCCTTTGTCATCGGTATGTTACTTGCCCGAGATTCGATTGTCGGTATCTCAATACCTAGTTCAATCTCGTTACCGACAAGTCTCTTTACTCGTTCCGTAATGCATCATCCCGCAACTAACTCATTAGTTACATTGCTTGCAAGGATTATAATGATGTGCATTACCGAGAGGGCCCAGAGATACCTCTTCGACAATCGGAGTGACAAATCCTAATCTTGATCTATGCCAACTCAACAAGTACCATCGGAGACACATGTAGAGCACCTTTATAATCACCCAGTTACATTGTGACATTTGGTAGCACACAAAGTGTTTCTCCGGTATTCGGGAGTTGCATAATCTCATAGTCACAGGAACATGTATAAGTCATGAAGAAAGCAATAGCAACAAACTAAACGATCATCGTTCTAAGCTAACGGATGAGTCAAGTCAATCACATCATTCCCTAATGATGTGATCCCGTTAATCAAATGACAACTCATGTCTATGGCTAGGAAACTTAACCATCTTTGATTCAACGAGCTAGTCAAGTAGAGGCATACTAGTGACACTTTGTTTGTCTATGTATTCACACATGTACTAAGTTTCCGGTTAATACAATTCTAGCATGAATAATAAACATTTATCATGATATAAGGAAATATAAATAACAACTTTATTATTGCCTCTAAGACATATTTCCTTCAAAAACAACCAGCCAGAGCGCCTGCAGGCACCCCCGCGACCGCCTGGCTGCAACCTACCATTCTACCGCCGCCGCCGCCCAAGGCGATTCCTCTAAACATTCCCGACCTCATGTTCTCCGACCAAGACCACACACACACACACACACACACCCTCGCCAAAACCGCCTAGTCAACGTACTTCCTCACATTCATCTCGAAAGTCTTGGGCGAGGTCCTGGCTCAGACTACCCACAGTGGGAGTAACATATGTAGTAACATCACACATATATAGATAAAATAGATGATGTGGCAAGCAATAAATGAAGAAAAAAAGGCATGCGGTAACATAGGTAATTTCTACTAGTATGAGTAACATCACACATATCAAGGTAAGATGAGTCTATAGCCTAATAAATGAAGTGTTGCATGTTACCACACATATGTTACTCCCCACTATAAAGGTAGTAACATAGAATAGTAACATGGGCATGTTACTACTCGATGTTACTACCCATTGTGGCTAGTCTCAGCGTCGCCAGGGTCGACGCTCCTCGCTGGCGTTTGCCATGTTGTCCATGTCATCGGCCCTTGTGGAATCGACTAAGGGCATGTACAATGGTTGATAAGACAGTCTTATCTTAAGTCTTGCATGTAATTTAGAGATAACAAAAGAGTATGTCTACAATGGGTTATATCTTAGCCTTATCTTCAATAACTAGCAATTCCTTAAAACATGGTGAGACAAATTATGCTAAGAGATCATTTCTTGTCTTATCTTAAATAAGAGAAGACAAGCCTTTTCTTATGAGTTCTCTTTCCTCTACCTCATCATTTATCCTACGTGGCACTTCTAAAATAGCACCATTGTACATGCCCTAACATGCGTGAAATTTCTAGGTACATCATGTTTAGCAAACACGCAAAAGTAACTTCTTTTAGTCGTTTCATTGCAGTACTAGTAGTAGAAGTTAAAGAAAATTGATTGTACCTGAGTCTGTGTATTTACAACGGGAGATAGTGGTACTACACAAAATGCCTATTTCTTTTTGTGCAAATCAGCTTCACAAACTACAGGGAAGAAACCTGTCGTCGTCAAACGTGGTCGCCCACTTCCTCGAAAACACGGTGTTGTCGAAAGAGCCGAAGAAGTCGTCCAGCCCCACGGGTTCCGGGAGCTTGGACTTGTCGTCCGCCCACTCCGCAGCGATGCAAGACGTTACGTCGGCGTCGTCCACCTGGCGCCTGGCTGAGACCGCCTCGCCTGACGTCGTCGTGCCGCGCGGTGACTTGGGTGGGTGGTGCGCCGTGCCGGGGAGCGTGTTGATCGGCACGGGCACAGCGTGGCAATGGTCGTCGATGTACGTGACGATGAGCATCTCGGGCTTGGCCCGGCTGCGATCCACCAGCTTCCGCGCCGTGCACGCCCTGAGGCTGCTGCACTTGTAGTACGCTCTGCACAAGCATTTCAGCCTCACTGCATCGTCTGGTGGAGCTTGGATTCATCGGAGAAGGTTCATGTTGTAGGAACAGTTGATTACCGAGGATACGGGGAGCCCTTGATAGGTTTCTGGCCGTACTTGCGCCACGCCCACAGGTCGTCGACGGTGCCGTTGTTGACGCCGCCGTGTTCGACCGGCACCAACCGCACCACCTTCTTCCTGCTGCATCGACCAACCAAACATGTACTGATCATCGATTCATATGGTAACCAAGGTAAACTGTATTACGTTGGAGTACCTTGTTTTCCGCTGCCTGGGAGTGGGAGTGCCAACGCCCGGTTTCCGGCCAGTCTGCTTCCTCCCCGGCAGCGTCTGCCCGGACGTCGAGGCAGACAGCAAGGAGATGAAGACGTTGCGCTCACGGGACGTCGACGACGGCGTGATGGAGAATGGCGGCCGAGGCGGCTCCAGGACGTCGTACGACGACGAGGAGGATGCCGCCTTCATCCGTCGCCCGACGAACTCCAGGGAGGAAACCACACGGGTGACGACTCCCCGGCGAGCCCGCGCCCGCGCCGCTGTAGGCTCTGGCTCTGCTTCCGAGCCGGGAACTACGGTCGAGCCGCCGCAGCTCCTCACGACCGCCTCGAGGCCCCAATCGGCGGAGTCCATGATCAGTTTGGTAGAGGCAGAGGAGAGGGCAGTGTGGTTGACTTTGGCGCGGGCTTCTTGGAGCGTGGCATCGTGCATGCATATATAGTGCTCCGATCGATTGGTACAAGGTCAAACACGCCGCCGAGTGATAGCGTCAGCGAGTACTACTACGATGAAAAACAAAGCACAAATATATATATAAAAAAATTACTAGGAAGTCAATGCTGTTTCGCTTTGAAAAGGCGAATGTGCAAGATCGCATCCACACTTACCGATCGACCGACCTTCCTAGTTTCATCAGGTACGCCACGTGCTGCAACTGGCTATGTGTGCACCTCCCACTGGACCAGCTTAGCAAGGTGCCACCCAGGGATCGATGCATCCAGGGTTGCTGGATGTACTTGCCACCATGGGCCATTTTCATGCCTTCAAGGGCTCCCACATGAGTCATGCCGTTTTTTCTTCTGAAGTAAAAAAAACTGAAGATGCCATTAACCTCCATGCACGTTCCTCCTTTGTAGAACAGCTTTTGCGGTACTTATCCTCACAAATACATATTTCAATGCGAACCAACCTATGATTTGATGGTTTGAAAGACAGCGGTATCCGCAATCCACCAGGATTCAAGTCTTACTAGCGATGCACGTTCACTGAGAGGAGACACCCCGTCGACTACTAGACGTCTATGGTGACTTTTGTAACTCTCAAGATTGCGCGTATATATGAATGTTTGCGTGTGTATTGTGTTAAAAAAATACATAATTTAACTTGTCAGTTACAAGCTTGTTATTTTAATATGAAAACTGTTTGTCACATTAAAAGTTTATTCCTTCACTACACTTGGTTATTTGATAAAAAAAATACTCCTCCCGCGCTAGCCCTTCAAAGCCTCATGCAAATTCTGAAAAACTTGGTTGGTGGGCCCACTTCCACTCGCTCGTATCTCCTTGTAGTCTCAGAGCAAGTATAATAGGGTGATGTAAGCGGGTTGTGAGGATTTAAATATTGTATTATTGCTTAGTTGGAAAAGAGAGAAGAAGAGAGAGTAGGGAAGCGGGATGTAGACTTACAGCCAGTTGTAGCACGAGCTCCAGAAAGCTTTGTGGGAGTGGAAGATGGGCCATATGTTGATAAAGTAGTACTTTCTTATAGCCGACTATTATACGTGTTAGCTATTATATTGGTTGTAAATAACATGTCAACATGTTATAGCCAACAGCTGGCTATATTATTAACTATGCTCTCACACCCTCTTCGTTGGTTCTCTTTCTCTCTCTCTTTCCTGGGCGCCTCGCTTTCCCAACCAAGCCGCCAATGTTGCCTCTGTACCCGGCAAAGATGATGACCACATCATGCGCCGTTCTCTCCCAGTGCAGCTCCGGCCCGCCTCTATTCTAAGGTCCCCCAGCATAGTCGTGTTGTTTTGCCATCACTAACGGCCCTATAGTCGCGGAGCGTGACCAGAAACCAAAGAGGGGGGCAAATTCAAACTAAAAGCAAAATATACATGAAAATAGGTGCAATGAAGTTTACATGGACACGAAAATTAGAAATTTATACATCGTTAGAACGTCTTTGAATCAATTTTCTTTAATTGAATTTGAAACATATATTTCTTTACTCGTTGTTCAGCAATTCATCTCGTCTGCGAATGTCGCATTGGGCCGTCGAGATGCATCACTTTTAGCAGCATCAGAAGAGCAACCGTAGTTGTGGTGTGCAGATGCAGCAACAAACCACCGGCAATGAACGATGTCATGCAACATGGCAGGAGCCCGAGATAAAGAGAAGGGCAACATCAGCGGTGCATCATCGTAGTCTACCGGAGAGAAAAGGAAGAAGAAACAATGAATACAATGCAAACAGATGCATATCGATGCATGACATGACAAGTAATGGTGCTAGGTGTGCCATAACACAGTAGGAGATGATACCGGCGAAAGGGGAGAACAACCAGGAAAGTATTCCTGGTGTTTCGCGTTTTCGGACAGACGAACCGGAGGGGGAAAGTTGCATGTTCTCTATGCTAGGGATGTGTGGCGGACGAACGGGCTGCGCATATGAATTCGTCCCGTCGTTCTGAGCAACTTTCATGTACAAAGTTTTTTCATCCGAGTTACGATTTATTTTTTACGAAATTCTAAAGTTTTTATAATATTCTGGAATTTCCTAATTTAAATCAATTCGAAAATTAAAATACCTAAACTGCTACGGGTATACATAAGTGTACCCAGTAGTGTGTGCACGTGTATGACAGGTGGGACCTGTTGACTGCTGAGTCAGTAGTCAACAGTCCCAGCTGACTAGTCAAAGTGGGCATGTGGGGCCCATGTGTCATAGGCACATAAGTTATGAGGTTATTTAGTTTATTTAAAAAAACAGAGGGGCACCGCTGTCATTGACCTACTAATTATCATGGGTTAATTTAACTTAGTTAATTAACTATTATCTAATTAATTAATATTAATCCTTTTCCTTTTATGTTTTTTTTTGCTTAATCGACGGGCGGGCCCCCATGGCCAGTGGCACAAGGCCACGGGTGTGTTAATGGGCGATGGCGCCCAGATCGACAGAAAGGGGGGCGGGCGCCGGCCACTGGCGCGGCGCGGTCGGCCGCCGGAGTTGGCAGTGGCTAGGCCACGCCGGGGTGGCACCTGGGCGCGGGGCAGCAGCGGGCAGCGGAGGTGGGCGCAGGGAGCGGCGGCCCGGCAGAGCGAGCAGCGGCGTTCGCTGGGCTCGCGCTGGGGGCTAGGCAGGTCGCTGGCGTGGCTGCGACGCGGGGTTCGCGGCCTTCAGCGGCAGCAGCAGTGCGGAGCGGGGGCAGCGGGCGGGGTCGGCGCAGGGGACGGCGGGTCGGCGGCGCGAGGTGCGCTGTGGCGCCAGCGAACGGCGGGACGGCGAGCGCGTGACGGCGCTGGCAAATGGCGTGACGGCGAGCGGCGGCGAGTGGCACGGCCGCAGCTCGAGGAGCCAGCGGGGCGCGGGCAGAGCGAGGGCGGCCGGCGAGCCGGGGGGCAGCAAGGCAGCGACAGCTGCGTCAGGCGGCGGAGGCGACAACGGCATCAGGCAGCCGCCGGGTCAGAGCAGCAGCAAAGGAGCGAGCGGGCAACGCGGGGAAGAGGACGGACTGGGGCGGCAGCGGACGAGCCGAACGAGGCGAAGCGTGGCGTTAGGGCGCCGGGGTGGCCGCAGTGAGGCGCAGGCTGGCGGGCGGTCTAGCACGAGCTCGTGCGGCAGCAGCAACCTAGAGCAACGGCAACGGGACTCGGTCGTGATGGATCGGCAACTAGAGAAGGGGAGCAACCGCAGGGAAAGAGGGGAAGCGGAGAGGGGCTCACAGTGAGCCTGTAGGAGTGCTTAGCGGGCTCGGGGGAGGCTCGGTGACGACGAATCCGACGGAGGTCGCCGGCGGGTGCAAGGTTGAAGACGACGTGGGTCCGACAATGCAGGGGGGCTCTGGCTCGAGTTCCTTGGCGGGCGCGAAGCAGCGGATCACGTCGGGGTGGATGGCATGGTCCTAGGGCGCAGGGTGGCCGGGGAGCGCACGGGAAGGCATTCCATGGCGGCGGCGGCGGGAGCGCGAGTGAGAAGGAGAGGGACGAGAGGAGGGGAAGTGAGGGCTCTAGGGTTCGCCAAAGGAGTGCGGGGGCGACTTAACTGAGCAGGGGGCGATGGATGGATGGCGCGTGGCGATCCAAGACGTGGCGATCCATGGCCTCTTGTGAACAGGAGGTTGAAGGAGGAAGGTGAGTTGGGCTGGGCCTGGTCAATTTGCTAGATGGGTCAAGTGCCCAGTAGATTAGGTCTTTTGTTTTTCATTTCATTTTATCTTTTCCTTTTTATTTATTTCCTTTTCTATTTTCTCTTTGTTTACTATTGTTTTAGTTTTTGTAAAATATATACTTGGCATCTAATTTAGTCCACTGTCACAAAAAGTCTAGTCCCCAAATAATTTAGTTTGATATTTTATTAATTAGTAAAGGCATTAAATAATTAGGTTTGCTACTACTTAAATCATTTTAGTTCAGTTAAGCATTTCATAAAAGTTTGGTTTCACCGCCATAATCACCTATGCATTATCTGGGATGACCTGAACATTTTAGTTTCATTGTTTGAAAACTTTTGTTGTTTGCCTGAATTTTAATTTGAATTCGAATCGGTTCCGAAACTGACTCAAGATTAGCAATAGTAATCGAGGTGACGTGGCATCATTAGTAGAGGTTCACTGTAGCTTAAGTATCCGGGCGTCACAATTCTCCTCCACTACAAGAAATCTCGTCCCGAGATTTAAGAGGTAGAGTAAGGGGAAAGATGTGGTTATGAAAATTCTATCGAGTCTTCTGGGTCTTCGTTGCTCTTCCTCGAAGTGGTCGATCCATTACGTTGAGGTCTTCATTTCTCTGCTTCATGTCATCATGATGAAATCATCATCTTTTTTTCGAAAACTCCATCGTACGTACGAAGGACAAGGGGTAACTTCGGAAGAACGGACCGCTACCATCTTTCTTATCTGGTAGATAACATCAAGAGAGGTGGCGGAAAGTAACTCTCGAATTGAAACTTACGAAATTATCGAGAGCAAAGTAAGAAGGTGCAAAATAGAAGTTTCAAGCGGGCAGGCAATCGTTCAATGCCTGAAACAAGGCGTGAAAGGTGTTGAAAGCAACGGGAATAAGTATTATGTCTGATACCAGAATTGATGGCTCGTGAATTACATAAAAGGCCACGCGTGAGGAACAACCTTGGGAACAGGGGGTACAAGAGAGTCAGGTTTCAATCATGTGGAACTGTGGGTTATGGGCCCACCATGTGGTTAAAAGTAGGAAGGGCGTTGACATCTTGCACGGTCATGATAGCAAGACATGTCAGAGGGTAGCCTATCAGTTATGTTGGCAACAATATCGGTACCAAGGGCGAGGGACGAAGAGAACCATTTTCCTGCTCGTTGAACGAGGCGGACCATTAGGCAAAGTTCTCGTCCATCAGTGACTACCGGAATATCATCAACAATAGTAATA